CAAAATCTGCAGATTCATAGAAGAGGGCATAATCTACCATGGAAATTGAGGCAAAGAACAAGCAAAGAGGTTAGGAAGAAGGTGTATGTGTGTCCGGAACCTACATTTGTGCACCATGACCCATTAAGGGCTTTGGGAGACCTCACTGGGATAAAGAAGCACTTCTTAAGAAAGCACAGTGAGAAGAAGTGGAAGTGTGAGAAATGCCCAAAACGGTATGCCGTTCAATCAGATTGGAAAGCTCATTCCAAGACTTGTGGCACCGTGGAGTACAGATGTGACTGTGGAACCCTTTTCGCCAGGTAACACAAGAATCATTACTTCAATTAAATGCTGGCAAAAATATATATATATATATATACTTCTGTTGAAGCAGCACCAAGAAATACCAAGAAGTTGAAGTACACATTTTTTTTAAATATAAAAGGAACCTTCTATTCACATACATCTACAATGCCTTCTCTCCCCGGGCCGGGGAAGTAAGAAAAATAAAGGAAAATATAAAAAGTAGTACAGCACTCTTTTTATAATTTGCTCCTTTTGTTTCTTCTGCTTGTGACTTTATCGGAGCAGGAAGGACAGTTTCATCACCCACAGAGCCTTCTGCAAAGCTTTGGCAGACGAAAGTGCCAGCACAATCACGGCAACCAACTCACTTTACGCCCCCACAGAACCACCGGACTTGTCTTCCTCATTGTCCCACTTGGAGCGAATATTTCCTGTGGAAAGAGAATTGGCATCTCTTTTCGTTGAGAAAGACTCGGCATCTTTTAGGAGCGAAGCTTCCGGAACCTCTACTTGTACGGAACAGGTATAGTACACGTACACAATACTAATAATAGTGAATTAATTATTTAACGAAAATAAATGTAATTTAATTTAATAAATTAATAATTACAATTCTATAGATATTGATATAAAATTATACTTTAATAAATGACATCCAATTAAAAAATTATAATTTGATGAATATAATAATAATAACTGATGATAGAATAACCGGTTGAATAATACAAAGAAATTTACTTTAAAGTTATTGTTGTGTTTGAGTTAACTGATTATTTTTTAATAAATAATTAATTATAACATTGAAAAATATTAACCAACTTATAGTTATTAGTTATGAGCTGTTTTAAGTCAAACTAAATAATGCTATTACTTTGCAATTTTTTTTTTAAAATTATCATATGAATAAAGAAAATGACAAGAGGACAATATTTTTTAAAAATTGTCCTGCTTCTATATTGTCGGGAAATGAACATGATAATGAAGCAAATAGAGGCAATGCTCGGGATGGATCGGATCAGAAAAGAGAGGTAATAGCTAAACCAAAATAAAACATTAATTTAATTACATGCAATCATGAGGGGTTTGGGTTGATGCGGAGAATATATCCTTTTTTACTGCTACATGATGCACTAAAATTACTTTAATAAATGTATTTATTATAAATAATATAATAATGAGAAAATTAAGTGTATGTTTCGTGGAGTTTATAAGAAGTCTTTCTTAATTATAAAATCACAAGCTGTGCCAAAGACTATCATATTTTAATGCCTTCATCAAAGGAATATAGCTATTAAGCCACTTAGTATTAAACAGAAATAAATAAAAAAATAAAATATTAATTTAATTACATATAGTCATGGGAAAAACATGATATTTTAAATTATTAAATTTTTTTTTTTAACATTGGATAATTGGTTATATAATAATGACATATAGCCCAGTTCCCATCTCCTATGAATGAATGTATTTGCATTTGAAATTTTCATTCAAGATTATAATTTTTTACTATTATGATATCCCTTAGGCAACATTTTAAATTTGTAGTTTGCTAACTTGAATAACCAATATATTCCATAGGTTCCTTTATGGAAGTGGATTTTAGTGGTCTTCAACTTGACCTTGGAGCTTCCCTCAGCTGCTTTTGACCAGCTTTCGCTGTCACAAAAGCCTCTTTATGCGCTAGTGGCGATGACGTTGTTCCTCCTAGCCTTCGCTCTTTGTGTCATTGAGCTGCTCTACAATGGACTTAAAAAAGGAATCACCTTCAAGCGTCCAGAGGACAAGATACCGTGGTTTTATTATCCACCTCGCTCTCGGAATCCCAAGCGTTTTGGTACCTTTGCAGATCTCATTGGCTTAGTTAGTGCCATATCCTAATGCATTGTTACAGCAATCAATTATGATTTTGTGCGCAGGGCTGCTAATAGTCCTATCAAATTCTCATTGTTGCCTATCATCTTTGCTTTTGGCCTTTTATGTTCAAAAATTGTAGAGACCGTAGAGAAAAGGGCTTCAGACGGAGAAGATCGTTGAGGACCGTTTCTGATCAGATTACGGTGTTGCATTGTTACTGCAAATGGATATGATTCTTCGGTTCTTCCTGCTGTGTTGTGTTTTAGGAATGCTGTTATACAAAATCTATAATATTTTGTTATTGTTCATTTCATTTTTTTTCTTATAAATAATAACTTTCCCACTGGGGCGTGCACAGAACAGAACCACCGCCTTGTTCTTCGAATTCTGATCAGCTTTTCAATTTTTGTGAAGTTGTTAGAAGGCAGCGTATTCTCTTATTGCCTACAATTACCGGTATGGCATTATTAGTTTTCATTTATCCTCTCATTTTACCCTCTCCTTTCCAAACTAACTACTGTTTTTCAAGTTGATTTTGTCACAAATTTAATATTGTTTTTTTAAATAAATAAATGTTTTTTCAAAATCTTGCTTTTGTCCCTTATTTTTATTAAAAGTAATATAAATAAATATATAAATTATTCTTAATTTTTTAACTCGGAGAAATAGTAAAGAAACCATAATTATTTTAGAATAGGTTAAGTAATTTTTATGTACTCAAAAATATTTCAAGGTACGTTTTTTTAGTACATTTTTTTAAGATAAGTTTAGTTTAAAAAAAATAAAAAGAAAGAAACTCTTTCATCTCATACAGATAAATAAAAAAAAGGTAAAAAAAAGTAAAAAAATAAAATAAAGGACTTGTCCCTCTCGCTTCTCCATCGATTTTATTAGTAATTAAATAGAT